AAAAATAGAAAAAAAGAAAGATTGATGGTATAGAATGCCAGAAACTATACGATGTGTTTGTGTAATATAATATATACCAACCACAAATATATTTTTGTAGGAAAGGCTATTTAAAACTTCTCCACCCTGCTGCCCCTTCTAACAGGAAAATAAATTCAATTTTTGAATGTGTTCAAATATAGCTATTTGTGAATGGCTATCAGGTGGGTCTATGAACTCACTCCTATTTGTTGGAATTGTGTATTTGTACACAAACATTTTCCCAGGGAAAATGCATATTTGTAATCAGATTATCCAAGGCATCTATGAAATTCACTCCCTTTCCCCCAAAAGCTTTAAAAACTACTGGTCTATAGTGTTTGTCTATACATCCACTCAATTAAGAGAGGTTTTTGTTATATTTAAAATTGGCTAAGAAACTAAGTAAAAAAAAAAAATGACACTAAAAACACCCACCCCATACACATGCACATACACACACATTAAAAAAGAAAGAAAGAAAGAAAGGAAGGAAGAAAGAAAGGAAGAAAGAAAGAACGAACTATAGAGAGTTTTGGAAAGTATTATGAGAATAGGTAATGATAACTTTTGTTCCTAATGTTCATATGAAATGAAAAAGTTCTTCAGCATCAGATAAAACAGACACTCAGAAAGATAAAATAAGAAGGTATGACTGGTTTACAGAAAGATGTCTCACGATCCCTCCCAGAGATGGGGCACAGGGGCTCTCTAGGACTCAGTGTGACAGCATTCCCAAAGGAGCTATTTGTGGGTTTAATTCTTGCCCTGACCAACTTTATGATGTTCCTCCTGGGATAATACCACTTCTTTCTTAGACCCAACATGACCCAGAGTCACCTCAAAATAGTGTCCGAGGTAACTCTGGAAGCTGTATGTAAGAGTGTCATGATTTAATAACCAAGAAAGTACAGAATACCTTGCTTGAAGATACCAGAGGAGGAAGGCCAAAACCCTGTAGCTAATGCAGGATGCTTAGGCTTAGAATAAAAAAGAAATACCTTGCAATGATGCCCATCACCTAAGAGATTCTGTCAAATGTGAGTCATGGGAAGAGGGACTGGACATTGTCACTTGGCTATCAAAATAGAGTTCAGGATCAAATCCAAGGAGAAATATGGAAAACCTCATCCATTCAGCTGAGAGTGTTCACTAGTTGAATTCTTAGTCTCAATGGTTATCGTCCATAACAATCCAGGTGCCTCTGTCCAAAACCATCTCTGTGGGTTGGGGGTAACGGAGGTCTGTGAACAGCAGGTGCCCTCCAGCACAGACCTCACGAGTACATGGGGTCAGAGATGTAGAATTTGCCTGTGAACTCAACACGGGCGGGCAGAAGAGGGCCCCCGAGGAAGATAAGAGCATTAGCCACTGACAAAAGTCAGTAATTACATCAGCTGCAAGCCACCAAACAAGAGCCCTGTGGTGGGTGACTGAGCTGTGACCTTGCGAGGGTCTTCCCGTTTCACCCTCTCGCAACCCTGGGGGACGGGAAGGCCCATTCTTCACTCTCCTACTGACGAAACTGGTCTAGAGCTTGATTAAGCTCCCCAGGGTCTTTTCGGGACTGGGAAAATCCCAAGGATGCTATTTTCTAAGTCACCACCCCTTCTCCTCCATTCAGGCTGCAGTCAGTAGTGAGCTGGCTGGCTGGGTTCAGGGTTTCCCGCCTGTCCCTGTGTTCCCTCCATGGTCCACGGCACAGGGCTTGCCTCAGGAGAAATGATCAAGCATGATGTTCCCGGAGGTTTCTATTTAAGCATGTAAAACAGAACAGAACAGGGCCTCCTCCCAGCCCATGTCTTCACCTGCTGGGAGGACCAGGAAATGGGTGAGGGGAAGGGCATCCTTAGTCAATCTTTTTTGTGTCGGTTTTTTAACGTTGGAGGCCTCCAAGGGCCTCTCAGGGCTCCACAGAGGTAACTACGGAGGTTCTGCAAGGCATTCCCAATCTTCCAGGAGAAAAAAAAAATACAGAAGCCAAGTGATCTAGGATAAATAATGAAAAATTTGGCTGGAACTTTATAACAGCATAAACTCAGAATGGATGCTTCACGAAGAACAGTTGGCAGTGAGATATGTGCTCAAGTTGTGACAGTCAGAAAGATAATTCTTCCTGGGTAAATGCAGTTCACGAGGTGAGGTCTAGGTGAGAAAAGATGGAGACCATGGCATGTGGGACAGAATCAAGGACCAAGATCTCAAAGTGCCGATTTAGGAAATGTTGGGACTGAAGCACGTCCCTGATCTCCTCTCTTCTGGGAAGCTCTGTCTGAACACTCAGGCTGGGCTAGGGACCCTTCTACCTTACCATGTCTGTTGAAAAGGTTAGCCTGCATGTCGGCTCCTAGCCCAGCTGGAAGGATGCCTCTGCGGGTGCTACTGGTCTCTGCATCTTTCATGAAGAGTGTGGGTGTTGAGCTGAGGGGTTTGGAAATGAGAGCCATAGGAAACCCACACTCGCTCTAAACCACCTGAATCCTGAGGATGGCACTCTCTGGAAACAGGAGCCGCTTTCCCACCTTTCGTTCCTACTCAGCTCAGAGTCAGGGCCCTCTCTCCTCCAGCCAACCCCTGCTCTATGTCCCACCTTGTTCTCCTCTTTAATGTGACTAGCTGCCCTCCTGAAGCCTAGGCTACAGGGACCAGCAGGGAAAGAGAACCTTCCTTTTGGGTGCTGCCACGTACTCTGGGCAGCCTGTAAGCCAGGGAAATGCCCAGGCCGCCCGCTGAATTTCCTTTTCCACCAGTACTCTGTTCTTACAGATTCTTACAGACCTGGACCCTTCCCCCCAACACACACACACACACACACACACACACACACAACACACACACACCAGTCCTGCTCTTCCTCCTAGCCCCCAGAGGAGTGTTCTCTTTCTTCTAAGTATGGTTTCAGAATTCCAGCCATACTACCGTTAGGAAAGAGGTACAACTTAGCACTATAACCAAAATGTTCAGGCACATCACAGGAATATTCAATGGCACCCCATCCAAAGTAGTTACCAACACACGGTGTACCATTTGGAAATGGCTGCCTCTCCCTGGCGATTGTGGCATTAATTAGTTATGCAAAAGTAATTCCCAGAAAAGAGAACATTCTTTATAAGTTAGTAAATTCCGATTTTATGGCAGGTGTGTTATGATGAGATTTTTTTATAAATTGTTCGTGTGAGGATAAGCCATACAATTTTACTTTATTATATTTTTTCCTGCCCAGTGCAGTCATGAGATAGGTATATATACTGAAAAGCTACAATTACTATGTACCAAGATAAGATAACGATTTTCAGACAAAATAATGTGGCATAAATGTGCAATTTTGCATTTATGGTTTATGAATCTTGCTTTAGCAATTATGTGAGCCCAGAGGATAACTTGGCTTTTTTCCCTTCATAACTCACTGTGTGACCTTGGGAATAACAAATCTTTATTTCTGCATTTCTGGTCCTATAAAATGGGTTCAATACTATGGGGCTGCAATAAATATTAAACAATCAATGATTGCTCATAGTGGGGACACATAAGGCTCAGGACATGCAGGTGTATTTGGGGGTATGGGGAGGATTTAGAGCCAGTTTGTTCTTGGTTTCTTACTATTCATTATCAATTTTTGCTCATTTTGTCCACTGAGGAACTCAGACTCAATTCTAGTGGCTTAGACAAGACACTGGATGCACGTTGTCTTATCTTTTTACCTCTGTGTTCCCTTCCCAATGATGATTTCGTCAGGTTTCATTTCATTATATTCTCAACTTTGTTTCTTTGTTTTTGAAACACTTCAAATGTTCTGTTTTGGAAGGGGCGAGATTATGAATAAATAATGACAAGAGTATTGCCCTTTGTCATCAGTATAATAGATGATCTAGGCTAATTCAGATTTTCTAAAAGATTTATAAGCAGGAAAGCTTTTAAGAAAATGCATTTAACCCTTTGCATGTCGTCAAGGACCAGAAACCAGGCACTGGTCAGGGGAGCCTCACGGGGGAGGATTCCTTTGGGTACAGCACAGTTTCTCAACTAGCATTCTGAGCCTGGAGCAGGACTGTCTTGTGGACTAGGGGATGTCTGGCAGCAGCCCTGGCTCTGCCGGCTAGATGCTATTGCCCCCCTCCATTCCTTCTGTGGCAAACAAAATTCTCTCCAGACCTTGCCAATATTCCCTGGTCTCAGCTACTGCCCGAGGGCCATCCTTCCTTACCCTACCCCAGAGGTGCAGGAATTTGCTACCAGGATCCTAAGCAGAAAGGCAGAGAGCGCAGCACTTCAGGATTGTCCCCCACGGAGTCCATCACATTTTGCCTGCTTTGTTTTGTTTTTGAGCATCCACCACCATTGCTGGGTATTTACTTGGCAATTTCAAAATCCATGCACAGAGGGACCAGAGGGGCAGCAGGGAACAACTGGCTTTGCAAAATCCCCACAGAGAAGGAAGGAGGGCTTGTGCCATTTTGGACAATGGAACTAAAAGGCATATGAATTCCAGTTTCATCAAAGTCTTCAATTTTTGCCTTTGACTCAACACCTAATTGTGTCAGGCAAAGGTTCATAAACCTGGAAGAGCAAGATGTCTTTGGGGAGGGGCGCAAGACCACCCCAGTGATTTTTATGTATGAAAAGCCTCGTGTCCCTTTGAATTCAAGGGGCAAATGTGGTCCAACCTCCTTAATAACCAGATGTTTGCAATCATCAGAAATACATCTTTGGCTGTAACCATTTCTCTGTTCTCCAGCATTCAGTCTCAGCAAATTTACATAACAGCACGTGACATGTAGAACGCTTAAAGGCACCGACCATGACAGGACAAATTACACTCATTTTTCAATACTCTTTGCAAGGTGCTCCGCTGCAGGCGCGCGCCGGGCTGCATGCTGGGGCGGTTCTGGTGGGCAGTCAAGACCATCATGCGCTCGCAAACACTCCGTGCCTCTGGGGAGAGGGCTGGTGCAGGGAGGCCCGTGGGGGGCTGCATCACTTACCCGCCGTAGGCCGGGATAGGGGGTGGGGGCGCCGCGGCCCTGAAGGTGTTGTACACGGTGCGGCCGCGGCCTCGCAGGTGCGCCCCTCGGTAGGCAGCTGCCGCGGTGGCAGCTGGATACGGGAAGCCGGGCACTGCGGGAGAGAGAACAGGGCAAAGGCCATGAGATCCACCCTGCCCTTGAGGGGTCTGCTCCCAGGACCCTAGTCCCTGCAGCGCCAAGGCAGCTCCAGCCCCCCAGGAGTTAGGAGGACAGAAGCAGACAGCAAGGCTGAGCCCCAGGGCCATTTGGTGAGGAGGACATACAGCATTGTTCCCTCTGCCCAGAAGGATGTGGTCAACCACAAACATTTACAAAGAATTCTAAGAATAGGAGAAAGACTCACTGAAAACTTAATTTTTTTTTTAAAAAAGGTAGATTGCAAGAAGTATCTACCAACATCTCAGTATACATCTATTTATGTATATACATATATATGCATTATATACATGCATGTATTCATGTTTCTAGTGCATAGTACACATGGACAGACATGCATGTTTGTATGGGGGTAAATGTGCATGTAACTGCATATGAATATATGCATGCAAGTACAGCTATATCTGTGTGCATATGTATATACATACATGTTTTTATAGACATTAACACATATTTCATACACTAGTGGCTATTTCTGGGGCAGAATTGCAGTAGAGTTTATTCATAACTTTCCCTCTTCTCGTTTTTATGTATTTTTCACATTTCCCTTTAGGTCCTTATGACTTGTCAAAATTTTTTAATTGAAGCATTCCTACAGACACCTCTTTGTGTCTTGAGTACACAAACCACAATCTTGCCCCTAAAAAGATGGTTACTAGCATATCACGAGCCCCCTGATCTCCTACACAGCTTTTAAAAGCAAACACAACCCCCTTAAGCTATAATCAGAAATATCTGGGAACTCAACTCTCAGGAGACGGTAGATGGGGTTTTCTTTCCTGGGGGAAATTCTCTGAGTCACTTGAGTCAGGAGGGAAGGTACTCCTGACAATTCCTTGAGGCCTCTACCTGGGAGGTCCTCTCTCCCATCTCGGGAGCCTCCAGGAGCCAGTCCTGTGCCCAGCTGCTGGGGCTTCTCTGAACCTCCCAAGGCTCTCTCCCTATGCCGACGGAGCCTGTCCCAGCATAGCAGCCAGCCGCTTCCCCAAACCACATCCCATGCAGGGGTACATTCTTGGGAAAATACATTTGAGAAACTATGGTGCCAGGAGAATCATAGTAGAAACTCAGAAAGGCCTTCTGAGAAGGAAGTTCATTGACTCAACCCACTGGATTGATTCCCTTCGCCAGGCTTCCGCAGAAGCCCTGGCCTCCCCTGTGTGTTAGATGTCTCCACACTGCCCGGCGGGCTTGTCTCCCTCCTACCATCTCCTTTGGGAGTGCAAGCTTTCCGTCTCATGTCTGCTCCCAGCCCTTCCCTGGACCCAGGCATGGCTTGTGGAAGGAGCACAGAGGAAAAATGGACGTTGGAAGGAAAATGGAAAGTCCACTCGAGAGACCGGAATCACTAGCTGCTACCTAGGAGGCTGGCGGGCGGCCATGTAGTGACCAGGGTGTTCTGAGAATTACACCCTATACTCACAGGCAGAGTAGGCTTGTCCCTACCAGATGGCCAGAGGGGTGGAGAGCAAGTAAAATTTCCCACAGAAGCAATTCCCCATTGCATACCACTTCTGAACTGGAATAGCACCCTTGGGCTTGAAGGGGAGACCAACTGGCTATCCTGATCCAAAATTCAGCGCCTGTTCTGGAATGGCAAAGAGACTCTACCCCGTCTTTCCCTTACAGTGTTGGTAAAATGAGAACATTGCAGGACCAAGCCAGAATGACTTCATCTTCTGTTTGTATCTGAGAAGACCATAAAGGTTATTTTTAACTTTTTATTATTGTGGTAAAGACAAACCATGCCAGCCCCCAGCACCTGAGTTTCCTGGATCGCATTGCAACCCACATGCCAGAAGCCACAGGAGGCTGAGTCTTAATGGGGAGGGTGAATCTTAACACCATCAAACCCCAGCAGCAAGGACAGGACATGGGAGACACTGCTTCAGGACTGGGCAGGAAATGAGTGGCCATAGCTTTGACTCCAGGTCTACCTTGCAGCATTTCAGACACTACGTCTTCACTCTGGATTTTGAAATAAAGAAAACGAACAACACACAATCTGTCCAGCCAGCTGGCTGCCTGTTGAGGACACGGGGTGATCATGCTGACCCATTCATCCTCACCGGCTCCTGGGCTGCAGGAGCCACAAAAGATCCCTCTCAGCAACGAGCAGGTTTTACAATGATTCTTGGAGGATTTAGCTGTTGAGAGGGAATGTGAACCAGAAGTTCGGCCACCGGGCGAGGGGACATATGCTATTGAGTGGAGCCAGGATTCCATTTTGGGCCCTGTTTGTTCCAGGGAAAAACACGTCTTTCCCTGCAGCAGGAGGTATTTACAGGTAGGTCCTCCTAGGAGGCTCTCTGGGCTCCTCTGGGCAGGAGGACAAGAGGGATCCTTGTTGGGTTAAAGGGATGAAGACGGAAGAGCACTTCCCTGCAGAATGTGACCTCCCTGGGAGGTGAAGGCCCTGGGGCAAAACCTCGAGCTGCAGAGACCGGGCCAGGGGCCTGCTGGACAGCAGCTCTGTGGTGCTGGTTGTCTGTCCAGAGCTGGCCCTACTGAGCCATCTGGATCAAGGAGCTGCCCTGCCTTCTTCTCATTGTTGCTCTTTCCTCCCTCCCTCCCTTTCCTTCTCCCCTCCTTCCCTGTATTTCCTTCCTTCTAATCCTTCCTTTCCAACCTTTTTTTTTTTTCAGATTTCCTTTGAAGACCACTGCCCTGATCCTCCAGTGACACAGGTGAAGTCAGGTCTCCTGGGTCACAGAAGCACAGGACAGTGCCCCTCACTGACTGGCAATGTCTGGGAGGCGGGGCTGCCCCTCCTGTGTTCTGACTTGGAGGCGTGGCCTGGCACCTGCAGGTATCAGGTACCTCAACCCTGCGGCCAGCCAAGGTAGACTGATTCCCTGGGGGGAGAGTAGGGCCCCTCTTCACTGTCCACCTTCTGTTGCAGGGTCCTGTGGGCAGGTGGCCTGCACAGAAGCTGCAGGACACACGAGGGGAGTGACGTCTGGATGGCAGTCGGGACCCCTGGAAAGCTCATTTCTACTTCCCCACTGAGAGGTGCCGGGAGGCTCCAGATGCAGCACGTGACTCCGAAGGAAGGAGGGGCTGCTGGACCAAAGTTCTGCGCTGGAACTTGAGAGCCTCGATCCCCCTCCACCTACAGCCACACGCCCTGCAGAACAGATGCCAGAGTTTGGAAACGGTCCATGTTCTGGGAAGCCCCACTTCCCCCACAAGTAGTACTAGTGAAAGGCCTTCATCCCTTGGCTCCCTCCAGAGTCCCGACCAGCAACGCTCCGTGAACAGGATAATCGTGCACAACAAGGAACGCAGAGAACAACAATCTGCAGGACCCCAAACTCCTCGGATTTGTGGCTGCACCTTCCCTGTTAGAGGATTTCCCCCCAGTGGCTGGGTTAGGGCAGTGTGGCTCTCTTGTGGTACCACGAAGGCCAATGTTCAACTTCAAGGACAAATAAAACCCCCCACAACTGTTTATCAAGCTTCCCTTAGGCTCCATAGGAGATGGATGGAGCGGATAGTTTTCTTCCGTGGCTATTGGACATGGCAGTTTGTAGATGCTGGGACATGGCTAAAGGTAATCTGAACAGATGATTCTGATACAGTTTCAACAAGACCAAAATGTCATGGCATGACACTTATATATGTTTTTTGAGTGAAAATCCTGAGTTCCCGGCATGTGGGAAACGAGAGAGCAAACCCACAGGTCCCTCTTCAACTTCATCCAGCATGAATCACAATGAAAAATCTGTATTGCTGTAATGAAAAGTAGATGTAGCTCTCAAAGAAAAGGAGGCAGGAGTTTCGGAGCACGTGCACCTCTTACTGACGCACGGCGGTTCCCAGTGCCCCTCTCACTCATCGGCAAGATTTACACCAGAGCATATCTTGTGGACTTTAGGGGAGTAACCACCTCATCCTTGGGAAGAACTCCTATAGGATGGGATGCAAAGAGATGAAACTTTAGGGACATAATGGGAAGCTTGCTGTGCAGGGTACAAGGACCAAGCCAATCAGCATTTGGAAATGGGACATGTGTGGATGTATCAACAAGCCAAATGGGCCATTTACCAAGGTGTCCGCTGCTCACTGCCCATCTCCCCCTGGAAGACAAAGCCCCACCTCCCACAACTCTGCATTCAAGGTATTTACAGTGACTCACGGGGCTCCCCCCCCCTCTTTTACGAACATGGTGCTTACCTTAGAAAATAAACACAAATGAGCTCATTTCACCAGCCTAGAAATCCCCAGAGAAGAAGCACAAAACCAGTGGAAAATACTTGAGGGTTATAAACTGCATATTAAAGTTTTAGAGCTCTGAGAGAGATGGGAGAATAGCAGATGCAAAACCCAACAGGGGGGCAGATTCTGCATCAAAGCCATAAAAATATACAACCGCTTTAATGGGCAATTATTCTTTGCATTTGTGCTCTGGTTTGAATTTGCATGAGATTGCCAGATGCCCTGGTAAAGGTGTGCCATCAGAGAGGATGGGGGGCTCTCTCTTTGTCTCACACCTCCTCTCCATTTGCTTCCCCAGTGAAACCTTTCCCACCGTTGGCAGGTTGGAAAACAGAGAGAAGCACATGCTAATTTGAGGTGGAACTGTTCTGTGGGTAATTTATGGAAGGGAACGTTTGGTCACACAATCCCAGGGGTGTGGATGCACTTTCAACAGCAGGTTCAGGGTTTTGCAGGATCCCCTCGAGGGGACTCCCATTCCATGTGCCGGACCATAAATTAAGAGGTGGCAGCACATGCAACAGACCAAGGCTACATAAACAGCCAGCCTTAGCTTCCGGAGCTGCAATTTCAGAGGCAGGGCATTGTGTGATAAACATCGAGAGGAACAGTCAAGAAAATCTGATCATTTTTCCAAATAGCAAAACAAAAGAAAACAAAACAACAACAACAAAAAAACCCGTTTACTTCTGTTTTCAAAATGAATCTCAAAGTACA